AGAGAGCCTGACCATGCAACTGAAATGACGTTTCCAAACGGGTTGTTTCATCAGGCGTGTTTGGGGCCCCAGGCCCGTGACCTCCTGGCTCCCTCCACCTCAACTTCACAAGTGCCCTGAACCAGCGCAGCACGGCTCCTAGGCCCACGTGTCCTGGCGGCCAACTGAGCAAGACCAATGTCACCGCTCAGCCCTTGCTGTCATCCTCTCTGGCAAGTAAAAGCCCCCAGAGACAGCTGATAATCAAAATCTGGTTCCTCATTTTCCATCTGTTCATTACATTCCTGGAAACTGAATGCGGTGTCTGCCCCTCCTAGGTCCAACCACCCATGAAACAGCGCGTTTGATCTGCAGCCCAACCAGAGTCTGGGGGCAGCTGCCAGCCCCCGGGAGCAGAGGCCACGCCACCCCAACCACGTCCTGCCGGGAAGCATACCACTCAGTGTGGGAGCAGCACTGCATTGTGGCCACAGCCCGCCCGGGTCAGCACGGGCCGGCCGAGGGCCATTCCAGCCAACTGGGCGAGTGGGGACCCTCAGTGGCCCTGGCCAGATCCTCAGTTTCAGGAGCACCTCAGGCTTCACTGACTGAGTCTGGATGGAGATGTCTGTGGCAGCTGTGGCGATGCCACCAGCCACGGCGCCCCCTGGAGCAGCTGGAGTGCGTGTGGGCTGGAGGGGGGCACCACATAGGGCGCTGCCTGGAACACACATGCACAAGCATTCACACGTGTCACCTGGCAGTGCACACACATCCACACGTGTCACTTGCTGCACACAAGCACTCACACGTGTTGCCTGTTGTACACGTGGGCTCCCCTTCTCTTCGTCTCCCCTCCCATCTCTGTCTCCCCAGCCCCATCTCTGTCCCTCCCCGTCTGTCTCCCCCACCCCATCTCTCCCCCTCCCGTCTCTCCCTGTCTCTGTCTCCCCCTCCCTGCAGGCGGCTGCATCCTTCTGTCCCTTCTAGAAGCTCGTGTCAGCATCTCTCCAGCTCACAGGCCTCGTTCTCTCCTGGCTGAGGCCTAGTGGGGGCACAAAGGCACCGAGGCCCTCCAAGCATTCTCTTCCTCAGGCTCACCAGGACCAGGGCCATGGCCTCAACACAAGGACACGGCATTCAGTCAGCCTCATGCCCCACTCCCGACAAGGGCCCATGTCCACATGGCCCTGCGGCCCTCTTGTGGGACAGAGCCTCAGGTGACCATGTGGCCACATGGCTCTCCTGTGGGACAGGCCCTCACATGGCCACACAGTCCTGCAGTTATTGCGTCACTGGGGTGTGCAGCTGAGTCCTTCTGGCCCTCCTGGAGCGCCACCCAGGAAGATCTGTCCAAAGACTTCGCAAGGTCAGTTACTAATTTGAAAAGCTCCACTGGTTCTACTCGACTGTGTAAAACTGGCTTTCAGAGACACTTTTTCTAGCAGAAGCTTTGTTGAGACAGGGGGGCCCTGCTTGCATACTGCCCCTACCTCCGCCCCTCTGGCACTCTCCCAGCCACACCTTTGTCTGCGGGCTTGACCACAGGCAGCCCTCCCGCGGGGCACCCGGCCAGCAGAGGCAGAAGCTGCACACACAGCAGGAATGGGCTGCAGCCGACAGGAAACCAGCCTCCGCGCGTCATCCCGCTGATGGAGCCCACGTGCCACGGTTCTCACAAGTCCCATTTCCAGTGCAAGACAACAGCCAATGGACAGCCCACTTCCTGGTCCACGCTGAGGCTCCTACATCACAGCCCATGAGAGAGGAAAGAAGGAAATGACTTTCCTGACATTTTCAGACAGCAGAATGGGGTGGGGGGCCCTCACCCACCACTTCAGGCCGTCAGTAGCACGAGTGTGGAGTAGGCTGCCCTCGGCCTGGGCTTCTATTTTTACTTTTGGTGGCGGGGTTCTCACGTTCTCACCAAACCAGGGAGGCAGGGGACCACACCCCCAGCCTCTGCGCTGTACTACGGAGAGTCTGTCTTTGTTCCTGGGATGAGCAGGAAGGCCTGTGTACACGTGTGGAAAACCATGATGCTGGAAAGGCGCAGGGTCCCCAGCGGCAAGTCCCGACACGGTTGCCAGACTGCAGGCTAGGAGACGGGTGGCAAAGGCCCGCGGGCTCCGAGGATGCCCATGCATCATGGTAGAGCTCACCTGGAACCCCAACACTGAGTGGGGAGCAGCGTGGTGCCAACCTGGACTCGCTGACTCACCTGGAAAATCGCTGAAGTTGAATGAAAGGAAATAGGGTTTTTAAATAAAATATGAGCCCAATGTGGGCAGCTGGTTTTCCTCTAGAAAGTTCTTTTTCAAATCAAAGGCGCCCAGAGAAAGCCACTCTGGCTGGATTTCTCAACAGAGAACGGAGGTTCCTTTCGGGGGACCCGGGACAAACTGGTGCCAGCCACCTGGCTCGCAGGAGCTGCCCCAGGCGTGAAGGTGCTGGGAGCTGAGGTCTCCCCTGGTGTCAGTACGCCTCTGCCATAGCCAGGACCCCCGCCCCCCTCCCCGGGAAGCTGCTCTGCCTGGTGTCTCTCAAATCAGGGCTGGGGCGTGGGGTCAAGGCTGGAGCATGGAACACGCATGCATTTAGAGTGCACTACTTTGCAAACCAACTGTCTCAAGCCCATGCTCGGCCCCTCCTATGATGCCTGCAGGGCTATGGTGGCCTCCTCTTTCCCATCTGGCTACTAAAAGTCTCAGTCCCTTTGCCCAGGCTTCTCGTGTTGATTTGCCCATTTGATGTAAAAGTTGGCAGATGGAACCGTAATAAAGGTCTAAAAGGCACCATGGAACCAGGCTTGGCCGTGCCACTCCAGAGGTGCTGGGCGTGAAGCTTGCGTCACAAATGACAGTGACACTGTATTATCCAGATGTAGGTCTTTGGTTGGACATACGTGATAAGCGTATTTTTCCCTCTCTGAGCCGCTGTGGGTTCCCGCAGTGCTGGGTTTTGAGAAGAAAAGTCTGTGTTCCCCACTCAGCCTCCAGATCAGTAACTGTTTTCCCCAGAGCTCACGCCATCAGGAACATGCAGGCTGAAGAACGCAGCCCGCATGGTTTTTGGGGGAGCTTTCATACACCACATGTCTTTTCTGGAGTTCTGCATATGTGAAAAGCCAATCTGGGTATTGTCACAGGAAAGCCTCACATGACCAATGGTCTCCTGATCTCACCCCTGCACATGCATCTTACGCCCTTTCCTCTGTCTGCTTGCTAGTGTTTTTCACTCTGGAGGAGCCCGTGTTCTCTCATGAACACCGACCTCCTGTCTTTCTTTCCCCTCATGTCTTTCTAAGCAACGTTTGTTCAACCAAAGCTACCTTGCTTCATCGTTTTGCCTCCTGAACTTTTCTGCAAGGGAAGGTGATGGGCCCAGAATGCATGTGCCAGGGTGAGGACTGACGCTCCTTCCCTGCAAGAAGCAGTTCCTTGCTTCAGCTAGAGTCCATGGCTCCCCAGTAACTGGTGTCAGGGGTCATCTCCCACACAGCACAGAACAAGCAGACTCAGGTGCAGCTGGACAGCTGCCTCACGGGGCTGGCAGAACGCGTTCATGTCATACAGGGAAAGCTGTCATTCATGACCCAAGCCTGGTGTTTTCCCGGGTGGCCAAAGTGGGTCAAGCAGAGAGGTGGGAGCAATTTTCTTGAGTCTACTTTCCTCGTTCCCCTCTTTACTGAGACATGGCAGCAGAAGGAAGAAGTGGGTGGGAGGCAGGGGCTGCCCTGCCAGGTGACACTTCTGGTCACTCCTACGAAGCTGGCACTTGGGGGTCAACAATCAGAGCACTGGACAAGTGTCTCAGACTAGTGTGAGAGTCCTGACCACGGCTCCCACTCACACACTCCCTGGACACTCTGGGGTGTGAGTCCCACGGGCCTGACCTTCCTCCTGCGGCTGAGCATGAGCTGCGTAGGGCCGTGCAGAGCAGAGGGAGGAGCTGCTGCCTCTGCTCAGGGCCTTGTGCGTGGATGGCAGACGGACAGGACCTTGTTTACTCGGGGCTGTGAGCCTTTGAGCTCGTCACATGCTCATTTGTCTCAAAACAAGGGTGTGCCAGGCCTCGTGCAAATCCTGTGACCCCGTCCCGGAGTGTGAGTCACCCCTAGCCCAGGGGAAGTCTAACTGGTCACACTCAGCAGCCCCCAGCCCCACCCTCACCAACAGCTGGTGTCCCGGAAGCAGGAGCTGGGGAGAACAGACCTGTGTGAGAGGGCACTCTCCTCACAGGTCGCGAGGTCAGGAGGCGGACCCACTGCCACTGCGTCCCCTGGAGATGTGCCCACTGGCCAGGCCACTCTGGACCTTCATCCCATCTCCTGTCCCCTCTCCTTGGGGCCTTCTTTCTCTCAGTACCAGGCTGACACCAATTCCTGCCTCCCAACCCCATACTGGCAGGGCCAAGTGTCTATGGCTGGTGTTTGAGTGTTGTGGCAGAGCTGTTCAGTTGTGCCCCCCACATGGTGCAGGCCTGGGCGTGAGCTCAGTGGGGACCACAGCAGCCTCAGAGTCTCTCACAAAGGGACTGCACACCCACCCGTCATGACCTGTATCTGCAGAGCAGACATGGCTCCACAGAAGAGCAGACATGGCACCACAGAACGGGTGAAGGCACACATGAAAGTGAGCCACGACTGTGACTGTCCTAAGAAGGCCCTGTGGCAGTGGACACAGCCCTGAGGGGGACACGTGGCAGTAGGCATATCACCTGAAGGGTGATAATGTGGCAGTTAGACAGCCCTGCAGGGGTGACATGTGTCAGTGGACACAACCCTGAGGGGTGGAGCACAGCCTGCTGCTCCCTGGCACACAGGGAGTGGAAGGGCGCCGGCCCCCTGCCTGTCTCCATGGCTGGCAGGCCCTGCCCGGCCCTCGCTGCTCCTACCTCGTGGCTCCTCCCTGTCGGCGAGCCCTCCTTCCACATCTCTTAGCTGTGGGACACATTCCATTTCTTTATTGAGGAAGGTACCGGGGGTCACATGAACTTTTCCATGAAGGGGCTCCCTCAGGTGCCAGTGCCCCCCAGCGTGGTACAGAAGAGTTGTGTAGCTGCACCAGCTTCACCGATGCTCATGGGGCTGTGAACAGCTGGAGCTTTCCGTCTCGAGAGGCCGTGATGAGCTATGGGGACAGAAGACACAACACACCGTCACTTCCATGGCAACACCCGTGGGTGCTCAAGAGGGTCGGCTCCCAGAGCCCTTCCACATCACGGACCCTAAGACGGCCAAGTCCGTCACTGCCGGCCAGTCATACCAAACCCCTGCTGCCCTTCTCACACTGAGGGGAGCCCGGCTGGAGCCTGCCTGCCCAGCGCTCTGTCTCCCATTCCTTCTGAGGGGCTCGCTGGTAAAGTGCTCGCATGAGCACATCTGATTCTCCGTCCTGGGGGCAGGGTGTGGTGGGCGTAGCAGGGTAGGTTCTGCTTCAGGCCTCTCACGGGGCCCCACAGGGGCACAGGGCCAGGGTGCTGGCTGTTCCCCTTCACAAGGACACACACTCCGTCCAGAAGCTTTGCTGTGATCCAGCCCTCCTGATCCCGTTTCACATCCTATTCCCAGCCTCGTCATCAGAGCAGGAGCAGCGAGTGACAGGAGCCTGTGGTCCCCACCCTGCCTCGCTGCACCCCCAGCCCCAAGGGGCTTCACAGAGCCTCGGCCCCCACTTGGCCCCATCATCCCTCCCTTCCCCAGGCCCCATGAGGGCTGACGGCACTCTGGCTGGTGAAGGAGCATCTCTCCTGCCCAGGCTCCCTCAGACCATAGAGGTGGCACAAGGGTGGCCGCACCCGGGCACACATGGAGTCTGAGTGGAGACTGACCCCGTGGCCCAGCCACAGCGGCACCAGGAAGTGTCAGCACGTGGGTAAAATGTCTGGTGCATCCAGAGCTCCCTGTCGGGCTGGGGACACAGGACGGCCACCAGGCCTTGGTGGCGGCTCTCAGCAGCAAGCTCTGACCTGGAGCACTGCACGGGACAGGCCAGAGACAGAGCAGGACACGCGTCCATGACAGGTTTCCCGAGAGTCGCACTGGGCCACACACGCGGGTCCTAGAGCACCAAGCAACACATGTGACTGGCTCTGCCCTGAGATGTGTTCAGTGCTGGGCTGGAGAAACTGAGCTTGTGTTTCTGAGGTGGCTGAAACAAAGTCTGACCCCCGTGGACACGCTGCACATGGACACAGAAGTCTCTCCCATGGGGTCGTGATGCCTGGCAGTGAAACGCCGCATGCTCGGCACACAGGTGAGTGAGACAGGCCAGGCTAGAGTGAGGGCCGGCCCGACTCCCGAAGGCCTGGGACAGGAAGAACCAGCCCAGACCTCTGTCCAGCAGCACAGGGAGGACAAGCTGCCTGGTTCAGGGGCACTGGCCCCACGGACACCCTGAAACGGGGGCACCAAGCATAGGTCCCTCTGCGGGCTGTTTGACATGTGTCTCTTTCTCCTTCCAGGGCTGGGATTTGCCTGTCGTGGAGTCCTGGAAGTGAACCTGAGCTTGATGACTGAAAAAAACAGCTTCTGTGAAATGGAGCAAACACTCCTGAAATTTATATGGAACAATAAGCCCCCACGAATAGCTAAAGCAATTCTTGGGAAAAAGAAAATGGGAGGAATCAACCTCCTGAACTTCAAACTGTACTACAAAGCAGTAATAATTAAAACAGCATGGTACTGGAACAAAGGCAGAACTGCAGACCAATGGAACAGGGTTGAATACACTGACATCTCCCCTCAATCATATGATCATCTAATCTTTGATAAAGGTGCAAGTAATGTGAAGTGGAGTAAGGAAAGCCTCTTTAACAAATTGTGCTGGCATCACTGGACGGCTACATGCAAAAAAATGGGCTCAGAACTCTGCCTAACACTGTGTACAAAAGTAAGATCAAAATGGATTAAAGACCTCAACATCAGACTAGAAATCATAAGGTACATTGAAGACAAAGTTGGCAAAACCCTCCATGACATTGAAGCTAATGGTATCTTCAAAGATGCCACGCCACTGGCCGAGCAAGTGAAAACAGAGATAGATAAATGGGACTATCTTAAACTAAGAAGCTTCTGCACCTCCAAAGAAACAGTGACCAAAATACAAAGACAGTCTACAGAATGGGAAAGGATATTCGCCGAATACACATCTGAGAAGGGGTTGATATCCAGGATATACAAAATACTGGTTAAACTCCACAAGAAGAAAACATCCAACCCCATCCAAAAATGGGGCAATGAAATGAACAGAAACTTTCTCAAAGAAGAAATCCGAATGGCAAAAAAGCACATGAGAAAATGCTCTACATCATTAATCATCAGGGAGATGCAGATCAAAACCACAATGAGATACCGTCTCACACCTCAGAGACTGGCCCACATTCAAAAGAACAAAAGCAACCGATGCTGGCGCGGATGTGGCGAGAAAGGGACACTCCTTCACTGTTGGTGGGAATGTCGACTGGTTCAGCCCTTCTGGAAAACAGTATGAACGATTCTCAAAAAATTAGAAATTGAGCTCCCATTTGACCCAGCAATACCACTCCTGGGAATATATCCCAGAGAGGCAAAAATGTATAGTCGAAGTGACATCTGCACTTGTTTGTTCATTGCAGCACTCTTTACAATAGCCAGAAACTGGAAGAAACCTGAATGCCCAAGAACAGATGACTTGTTAAAGAAACTTTGGTACATCTACACAATGGAGTACTATGTAGCTGTTAGAAAAGATGAAGTCATGAAATTTACATACAAGTGGTACAACATGGAAAGTATCATGCTAAGCGAAATGAGTCAGAAAGAGAGGGATAGACATAGAAAGATTGCATTCATCTGGAGGACATAAAGTAACAAAATATGAGATTAATACCCAAGAATAGCTGAGATCAGCACCAGGAGGAGTACTCTATAGCTTAGTGGCCAGTCGGGCATTCTAGAGGAAAGGGCAGCTCAGATAGAGAAGGAAACACCAAATAAAGGGTGTTTGGAGGATCCTCCCAGGAGGGGAGATGCATGTCGAAAGTGGACTATGGGCTGAACATGTTTGCCACTCAATGCCTCTTTTGCAGACCACAACACCCAAAAGGAGAGAGAGAACACAGGGGATTGTCCTGCCACAGAGGCAGGGGGGGATGGGGGTGGGGGGGATATTATCCATGGTGGTGGAAAATGGGCACTGGTGGAGGGATGGGTATCTGATCATTGTATAATCAAACCCAAGCACAAAAAATTGTAAATCTACAATTGTACCTCATGGTGTTTCACTAATAAAAAAAAAATTTAAAAAAAAAAAACAGCTTCTGTCCAGGTAACCTTCAAGTCCTATCCACAGTTCTCCCGACCAGCCCCAGACGTGTCCCTGAGCTCTGCATCCAGCTACAGTTATTCCTATTCAGGTGTGAGGGCACACTAAAGACATTTCAAATACAAAAAGATCCAAAGACAATTGTCATTGCCTTTCAGAACCTTACTCAAAGACACAGAGGCCACAAAAGAATAGCGTCAAGAACAGGGAACCAGGAGAAAGAAACCAGGTACAGAAGATTCAAATGGTAGAAATGGCCCTCATCTCCCACCACAGGGCACAGAGCCGGCCCCCTGGGCAGACACTCACTCTTCCAGGGGGAAGCAGGATGCCATGATCTCAGGCTCGCTCACCAGAATGTTCCGACCAGGGTTATGTCAGAGCAATCACACAAGGTAGGAATAGTGAGGATACACCAAAAGCCTTGGGTAATGTTTTCAAGATTAAATCAACCTGCAGACAGATAAGGAAATTGAAGAATCTGAGTATTAAGAAGGAAACAGCATTTGTGGAAGGAAGTCTCGGTAACAGCAACAGACACTGTTTGTGGAAATCTTCCACTTACACACACACACACACACACACACACACACACACACACACACCAGGATAAAAAACAAAACCCAGATGGGAAGAGAGGCAGTACATGGCAGGAGAATGCCACAAAGATGCATGTCGGACAAAGACATCAAAGTCCAAAACGTGTGGAGAAAGCTGAGGAAATGGCCGGGGAGCCAGGGGGCCACTCACTGGAGCCCAGCTAGGTGCCACCTGAGCACATGGTCCGGGGGGCAGCATCTGCTGCAGCCCTGACATCCCTGAGCATAGCCAGGGGAGGCTCAGTGGTTCCTGAAGACACAGGGTCCAGCCACACCACACCCTCAGGCCAGAGCACTGGTGTGCAGGCCCAACTGGAGTGATCCCAAGGTCCCTTAAGCACTACTTGGGAGTTCCCCCCGCCATAAAAAGACAAAACTGTACAAAGGACAAGGAGGTGGCTATGAAATCACAGAACAAAACAAAATCCCAGGATATCAACTTATTCTAGTCAGTAAACATACCAGGCAAGCTACCGAGAGTATCTCGCCCACACGGCAAAGCCTGGCAAGCTCCTCGTGATGCATTCAATATGCCAAACACAGTAACAAGAAGTCTCACAATGGAGATGTTACTGGGCCCACTTGAGTGAATCGATGAACAACGGGAGGACAGTGACAGTGAAACATACCAGGAAGAACAGGAGGGCCTGGACCAATGTAGGCACCTACTACATCTACCTGCAGAACAAAGGGCACGGAGGGTTGGAAACAGAACAGGGTGGACACCACCTATGGCATGCATCTGACACCTCCTATCAGATGCTGTCAGAGGCGTGAAGCAGGATCCTGACACACAAGCAGAGAAATGGAAAGAGAGTTTTAAAAACACTCTTTGAAAACTGCAAAACTTAACCAGGAAGAAGTAGGTCACTATCCCAGGGACTGTGAATCACGATCTCTGAAGCAGCATATGAATCATAATCCTTGGAAATAATTAGGAGTCACATGTTTGGGAAAGGAAAACACAACAAGAATGCATTCCTAAACCATTCATTGAGTAAAAGTGGAACTTTCGGAGAGATTTAGAAATAGTTTCAAATGTATTAAATAACACACTTGATGTGGGATCTGTGGACTAAAACAAGTTTTGGTCCTTCAGAAACATCTACAGCCTTAAACACAAACAATGAGAGGGGGAAAAGGACTTGTCGAGGCACGGCCGTGGGCCAGTGGAGGGCAGGCTGCGGTGCAGCAGGACAGCGCCCAGAGAGAGCACCCCTTCCAGCA